GGTATGAAAATAGACATCGGGGCGTTGGACCGGAGGATCGATGACGATACTCATCCTTCGGTGGCGGCTTGCCCGACTTTATTTTTCGACAAGTAACCGCATTACGCGACTTGGTCGAGACAGCACGTCTGCATGATGCGTTTGAGATACTGTATAACTTGCATTTTATATTTTATTAATATATAATATATCTCAATTTTTTCCATACAATCATAAACCTAGCTCATTTAATCCCGAGTATTTAATAAACATATATCTTTTTTTCTCATTCTTGTAATATGAAACTTTACAATTGCTCGGGGTATATGCTTTAATTTATATATTAAATTCATTCCGCTTAAAATCCATTTGCAATTTGTTAAAATCAACAGATAATTTTTGATTGATTCTATTTGCATTTTTGATTATCTATTTATATCTGTAACATATATATCAGCTAATTGATTTATGTGTATACATATACGTACAGAGATGTAAATGTACAAATTAATTAGTTTCCTTTGACTGTAAAATAAAATTATTAAACTTTTATAAATTTCAGGAAAATTAAAAAAAAACTAAAAAATTTTCAACAACAACAACAATAACAATAATAATAATAATATACATATGTATGTATGTATATACATATATAATATTTAACATATTAATATATATTAGATTTTTATGGTATCTTTGCTTTTATGCTATTTCTCTGCTTCTTTTTTTAATAGAATATTTAATGAAATTTTTATAATAAAAAGACATAGCATTTTTTTGTATAAATATATCTTTCTTAAAAAATTTTTCCTAAGTAAAAAAATTTCTAAGTAAAAAAAAATTTCTTTTATCTTGTTTTTATTGAAATTGATAAAATATAAATCGAAAAAGTATAACTATTAAATGTGATGATATTATTTTATTAGTTTATCTTAGTTTTGAAGCGCTCTTATTTTTTTTATTGATTTTATCAAATTATTTGTATTGATCTATTTATTTTATTGAATATGAAACTTGATAAAAATTATAAAAACAAATATCAAAGTTTAATTGTTGCTGAAATATCATTCTTCCAATTCTCGTAAATGTTACACGTGCGCTTGTTGACTTTTGCGTTAGAGTCGATCAATTGAATCTCTCATCGTATGTTATGTTACGATGCGTTTAAACACCACAACTGTGTATGTACTTGATGTCCGCTTTACGAAGATAACGTCCTGTCAAGTATCCAGTCGGTTTGACGCTTGTCAAAACAAGCCGCCGAGAATACTCGCCATGTGGATGGAAATAGCAATATACCGGTCTAAAATACACTCACATAGGAAGAAAGATGATGGAACGCGGGTGCACATCGAGATGCATTCGTTTGATGCACGCACGCCAGTGGCGTAACTAATGACCTAAAACACCCGGAATTGCCTGCGAAATCAAAATTGAAAGAGAGAGAAAAAGAAAAAAAAGAGAGAGGAAAAGAAGCAAAAAAGAAATGAGAGGAATAAAGTAAAACAGGAAAAGAAAAAGAAATACAAAAAAAGAAAGAAACAAATAAAGAAAAATATCAAATTTGTCAGTGACAAAATGTTCTTTTTTAGAAACGAAATGTCATACAAGAAAATGTTATATTCTACTTTTCAATTTATTTTTAATCTCATATTATTATAACTTTTTATATTACCAATAAAGAATTAGCATTGTTTCTAAATTTATTTTGTTGAAAATATCTTTTTTAATTACAAAATTTAATTATTTTTACTCAGTTTCTATCAAAGTAAATATAAATATTGAATAATCATACTATTTGATTTGTTCAAATTTGTTGTTTCTTTGTTTTAAAATATATTTTTCGATCATTGGATTTCATAAATTTATTTTTAGTGATTTACTTTTGAATACATTTACCATTGTATCTAATTATATCTAATTTATGGCAATTGAATTTTACATATATTAATATATTCGGATTGAAATATATATTAGAATACAAAAAATAACAACATAACAAAGCAATTAGAAAGTGGGTCGAGCATATATCACAGCTTATAGGTTACTCAATAAAGATTAAATATGTAAAGATCTTAAAATATTTTTTGGAGTATTATATATCCGTTTGTCAACGAATATCAAAACGCTTCGTACCACAGACGATGAATTTATCTTGGCACTCTGGGAACTGAGCGAATGACGTCTAGAAGCACTCATCGACCGTTATAAGAATAATAACGCACAGATGTAGTTGATGATAGATTGGATGTAACATCATAATTAGAGTGCAATTAATGTGATATTCTTAATATTGGAAATATATTGGGAAATTATCATCGAATATATAAAATCAATTTTATATATGTGGCTACATAGGAAAAGTGATTTAAAAAAATGTGCGCGCGTGTGTGATGTAAGAATATATTATAATACACAAGAATATAAAAAATATATAAAAATATGATTTTTTTCTATTTTGAAATATAAACAAAGATTTTAATTTTTTATAAATGGCCAAAATTTAAATTTCAATTCTACTGTATTTTCACATTGTAGTTATAAATTTTAGTTGCTTTTATTTTAGTAGTTCTATTTTTTTCAAATTAATTTTATTTTTTTTGTTTTCTATCTATCAATAAATTTTGAAATTAAAGTATAACAACGATTTTTATTTATATATATTAACAGAATTATTATTTATCCAATTTAATTTATTTCTATATGCGACAATAAGAGATTTTTTCTTAAAATATAAAATAAGAATATAAAAAATATAAATTTTAAGCAGTGCAGAGGATCAAGAAAATTCGCAATTAAATAATAATTTGACCAAGAAATGTATATATGAAAATGTTATTAAATATTAATAAGATATAATAAAACTATCCAGGATAAAAGCTTAAAGATAACTACATCTCATATACATCGACAAAAATTGTAAGTATCTTCAAGATGTACTAATTAGGCTATTTTACACGATCTCATCAAAATATTGAAAAATTTTGAAATATTCATGATTCCGACATCAAGGTCGAGCCAGTAAAGAGATTTTCATAATTAAGCTGATTAATGACCTCATTAATGACGCGTATATTTGCACTTTTGCAAATATCGGACGCGAATATTTGACTTGTGTAACGTGTTGGAAATCGCTTGTGATCCAGAAATTTATATGTCCATCGATCTTTCTGCCAATTACTATGACGAGGTCACAAGTCATGATTGAAGTGTGATCTATGTATTAGCCGCACCTGTTGTATTACATATCTATTTGCTTCGATGGGGTGATTTTGGAAGAATGAAGGGTAGGAACGCGATGGTTGTACGTCGCTTTCAGCTGGCCCGGGTATCCAGGGTTCGTCGCCATAGCGACACCCGAGCGATGGCTAACCACCCCATTCCACAATATAGCTGGTTGTAACCGCGTAGGTGTTACAGGTTGGAAGATTTGAGAGCGACGCGCTCTAATTAATCCGCTAATGCGCAAATTTAATTTGCTAGAAGTTACATAAGTTATAATTTAGAATGAATTTATTGTATAGATAGAGTATATACATGTATATAGATAGTTACTTTGAACAGAGAGAGAGAGAGCAAAATAGTGTTTCAATAAAAAATCTACCTGGTAGATTTTTAAGATAATTAATATTAACAATATTACTGAATATTAAATATTACTGAATATTAAAAAAAAATATTAGTATAAATATATTATTAGGTAAATTTTATTTCTGAAATAAATAAAATATAGAATCAAGGATTATCGGAAATATGAATTAAAGGAGAATTATTTCTCACTCTATCAATTTTATACAATTTCAAGATTTATTTCAATATATACAAAACATTGCTTCGTATTAATGGAGGGCATGCACGTCGACTTTCTCGCAAAAGTTACTTCTGTCGTTTATTTTGTCGCTTATTTATCAATTCGGACAAGAGGAATAGTAAGATAATAATTGTCCGAATATGTTGTAGATGAGCGATAATGCTCGTCGTGCATGTTCTCACGTACAAATATATAGAAATATGCGTTCGCATGATTCCAATTCTTAACGCGTTATTTTACATCGATCCTTACGATTTCGTTTAGATAACGATCAACTTGAAGAGAATTTTAGAAGAGATTTTTTTGTATATTTGACAGTAAGTTCGATAGAGAGCGATGTCTTTATTAGTGTGATCTCTTGCCAACAGGAAATGAGATATTTCGTAGATAGATAAAAATAAGCGAATATATAAATCTTTCTTCTCGCCAGGATTTTTTCAGCGTTCAATTTTCATCTAGATTTTATAGACATGCGAAAATAATCAGTTTATTCGAAACTTATTAAATGTAGTGAAATGCAAGAATTACACGGGATAAATTCTTTCCTATATTTATCTAGTACTGAAAATTAATCTTGTTAAAGTTATATAAAAGTTATTCTATAAAATTATCTAATATTATCAGAATAATATTATGTAAATCTCGTATTGCATGCGAATTAATTCACATACATCTGAAAATGTACCGAACGTTGAATGCAAGCGATGAATTTGGCCAGCGATTCGCACTTCATTACGAAATGTCCATTTTACGTGTCGTTATCCGGGAACGTTTTAACGCAGGATCGTTTGCAAAAGATTATTACAACTGTTGGAATCGCAACGCGCATGCAATATTACGCTATGTCACCGTTACAAAGTGGCGTAACTAATTGTACAAACAGAACCTCTACGCACTACACGATAAACTGCTACAAGAATATATGTGTACTATATTTTCCTAAGGTATATATACGTACATGTCTAGCGAATACGAATGTATATATCTATTTATATATATATAAATGTATTTACATCTGTATGATTTACATCTTATTTTACTAACGGATACTTCCGGTAACCATCCATCTCATATTATAATCTCTATTCGCATCGACTATACCATATTGGTAAATTTTTCGATACTTTCTTATTTGAACGAAAACAATTATATATAAATAAATGTAACAAAAATTTCGATCTATTATTTTGAAAGAAGAGATACATATTTATTCGGTTTAAAGTGGAAAGTTAATATTTTCATTGTTTGTCGAATCTAATTGAATGGATTGTTTCCGAAAATATTTTCATAATCTACGCTACATTTGGAGTTACGATCTCCAATTTAGGAATCCCTGGATTATACAGTCTTCTTGCTTTTTTAATCCTTGTCTAACGATTGACATTATACCGTTATGTAATGTGAACTGAAACGGAGATTTTGAATTATATGCAAAATATGTCTAGGTTTCTAATCTCGCGTTTTAGTCGCGCATAAGGCATCACTAATTGTAAGATTATCATTTAAAGAAGAACTGACTAACGCAAAAATTGTATGCACCAGCATTATTGTCTCTATAGTTAGTACACCAAGCTAACTTCCAGCTTGACACTGCTCTTCTTTCGATCAAGAAGCGGATTCTTTCTATACTTATGATACGTACATATCACATTTACACTTAACTGCTATTTTATATCTTGAGAGACGCATATTTTATTTTATTCTCAAAATCCTAAAACAACATAAAAATACAAAGGATATCTAAACGATGTCAGAAGAATACTTGAGAGATTAGAATGTCTTTCAGACATCTTTATGTGACGTTTTTTTAAACATTTACGTTGCTTTTTATTTGTATGAATAGTTGTCGTTTTTAATATGCCAATTTCTGTTACCTACAAGTATCATTGTTTTTTGAATTTTCTCTGTAATCTCTGCTTTTATTTAAATAATATAAATTTTTTTGATGAAGGAAGTTTATCGATAATTGGTCCGCCTATGTATAGCATTTCGACACCCTGGAACAGGCCGTTGCTGGGAAAAGGCCGTGTTCCGCTCTTTTGCGGAATACATTTCAATATATTTCAAGCTTCCCAAAAAACGTCTCTCGTTTACACAGCTTCGGCTGATTATTTGGCACGTTTGTACGATACATGGAAGCTGCTCATTCGGAACTTACTCGGCTCCTCCTGGGTGATCCGAAGGCACGGCTCGCTGCAGGTCCTCACTATCTCTCACATATCCTCCGTACTGAAGCTACCGATTAGACCCTGCTCTAGGTCCATGTTGGAGTCACACTGCATCACCCACTCCCATATCCTCTTGGTAACGACTTTCTGGTCTACTGTGGTCTCTAGACCATAGCTATTCAGTAGCTTCCTCAGCTTGTTTTTGTTCTCGTCCACGTTGTGTCGATCGTCCAAAATAGTATCCAGGTAGAGTAGGCTATCACCTCGCCTGGCGAGACTCTCGCTCACGTCGACCGACGTCGACGTCGCGCTATGACTGATCTTACTGATGCACCATGAATCCTTTAGATACTTGTTGATCTCAGTCACATGCGGCCTCTTCTCCGGCTTGTGCTCGAATGCTCGTCTGAAGTATCGGAGCAGCCTAGGTGTGAATCGTCGGAAAGTAGGCGGAATCTTGGTGGTACGTCGCTTTAGCCATCGCTGGAAAGCGGAGTAGTCCGGGTCTCGGATTGGATCGGCGCTTTGCCACGGCGGATTGCCGGTCAGACAAACGAAAAGGACGATGCCAAATTGCCAGCAATCTGAGCTTCTTTTACAAGCGTACCTTTCGTTCTTGATGACTTCGTGGATCTCGGGCGGTTGGAATGGCACCCAGGTGCATCGTATTTTGTTCACCAGAGTACCTTCGCGCCTTGTGCAACCGAAATCGCACAATTTTACTTTGCTCATGTCCTGCGCGAATACTAGCACATTTTCCAGTTTTATGTCACGATGTGTTAGCTGTTTTGAATGAATAAAATCGAGAGCCGAAGCAAGCTGTTCGGCAATCCTTTTACATGCGTCTTCGTTCAGTCCGCCAGCCTTCACATTGCCGGCGAGGTCGCCATAGAGAGCGTATTCTTGCGCGAAAACAAAACACTTCTCCGCTTTGAAAGCGACAGCGTACGAACAAAGTATATTTGGATGTGGGCTTAGGTGATACGAATAATGAAATTCCCGAAAGAAGTCCTTTTCCGACGTGAGTTCTTGATGAACTGCTTTCAAAACTACTCTTGTCTGAGTGGCTCTGTGCGTTGCCAATAGAACCTTCGCAAAACTACCCTCGCCCAAAGTTTTTTCCACATTGTATTCTTTCGAAAGATCCAGCTCTTCGAGAGGTACTTCCTGCACCCTGTGAATGCCTGACTCTTTCTTTTCGTGCAGCTTCATCTGAAATTAAAGAAAAAGAGTACATGATTATTTTTGATAGATTGATTTTCCTTATTTTTAGCTTAATTATAATGTAGCTGAATATAGTGAGGAATATTTGTGTCTCGTAAAGAATTTAATACAAGTGTATATTTTATAACTAGTGATATATTAAATCATATTTTATTTTAAATTCTGAAAATAAAATTATATAATTTTATATTTAGATATTTTACTTTAGTTGCATTGCTACTTTAATATTACTTATTATTATCTCATGTTTAAAATTTATTTTAATATATTTTTACACGCACGCGTTATAGAGATTAACTTTTTAGTCTTATCATCTACGTTTTATAGATCGTCTCGTGTTTCTGTCAAGTACGGAAATTAGAATTTCATCTGTCGGAAATACGTCTATGTTGATTTCACACTTGGGTAATGCTTTGTCGAGGAAATATCGTCGTTCCATGGGCATAATAAATCTCAGGAATATGCAACGCCTACGATTGTCAACATGACGGACGTACAATCATATTCTGAAGTGTTCCTACGCTTCCTTCCGCAAAAAGATAATATTCACGCCTCTCTGATCATACAACGCGCGTCCTAGTTCATAAATAGCGTAGATCAATCGCAGTTCTAGAATATGATATTGCGTACACATGCGATTTGATTATGATCGCCCGACATATGGAGATCGTTTGCAAAAAAGATGTCACAATGAGAGATATAATATTTCTCAAATAAAAATTCAACTTTTCTAGATTTCTTTCCGAAAAGAAAAGAAAATGATAAGATATCGAATATCTTGGAGAAAATGATAAGATATCGAATATCTTGGAGAATTTTTGCTTCAAATTTTAAGCTTCGATAAAATAAATAATTAAATTTAATAGTTAATCACAAGGACGTTTAAAATCGAGTGTTAAAAATTTCTAACAAGAACTGACGTATAATCCAAGCTTTGCTGGAAAAGAGTTTTGATTCTAGATCTATTAATTCAAGGAATCGATAGACGAAAGCAAGTTTCCTGAAATCTCGTATTGTATAGGTAATGAATATCGTGTATTTTCTCCATTAAAAATGTAAATCGGTTAAATTTATCGATCGCTGTTGCATAACGGCAACATTAAGCAGACATTGATCTATCTAATGATAGTCCTTGCGCTTTTTGAATCGTCGTTTCTCTTCCAGCTATCGCGTGATCTCGCATGTGCGTCATCACGCACGGCGCTGCAAATGCTCTCTCGTGTAAACTCGCGATCGAGTGTTATGTTTGTGCTCGAATTTATGATCGCGTATCTCGAATCGATAATTTAGACGGCAATACGCGAGTTGGATTTTTGGAACGACGCCACCAGGAACAGCGATTTACATTTTTGTCCTCTTCGCTTTATATGTGTACATCAAGTTTTCTCTGTCATTTTTATCAGAAAGTTGCATTTTCGCGAAGAGTCGAGCCGGAGGGTAGCCAGGAGGGTGAACCCAGGACCTTTAGACCCTCTCGCTAGATCAATAACAAGAAACGCTCACAGATTTCATGTCTGAAACTGCTCGACATCAAATCTTGAAACTTTTCATTGGGCCTCATGTGCGAATTTTGTCCGCGATTCGCACATTCGTTTAACTTCTAACAGGTGAAATGCATTGCTAGGTCGAGTGCGAATGGAAGAAGATAGATACGATAAATAGGTGGTTTCATTAATTTTGGACATCGCATTTAAACACGTTTTAAAATTTTATTTACTTACTTTATTTTTATTTATTTAAACTACATTAAAATACAAATTACATGAAATTAAAGCTATAAATTAATTTACATACACACATACACACACACACACACACACACACACACACACATATATATATCAAAAAATATAAATTGCTAATTTTTTACTTATATAAGTTAATATCATTTTTATTCTTATTTGTTATTTATCAATATTTATGTTAAAAACTAGAAATGAAAGTATACATATTCTTGATTCTTAAGCATTTTGAAAAAAGATTTGTGATATATTTAAAGACTTTGTATTTAAGTTGACTTTTAATGATTCAAAGGGATCGTTTGTTACAGCACAAGTCATTAATAGATGTTTAAATTACGTGAAAACGAACATACATTAGTTTGACGATAAAAATCTTCCTAACCAGTTCAGATCGTCCCATAAATTTCTGGAAATTTGAGACAGCGTAAATGTCATCATGTGACGAAATGCAATATGTAGCGAACGGGTGGCGTAAATATATATTATAATATACATATAATGCGTTATAACAGGAACAAGATAGCGGCAAGCTCTTTTTCACTTTAATTTTTAATAAAGTAAGGGCAAATTACATGTTTTTGATTTGTGCGTAGGATTATTATATAGATAAATTATATGTTCTTGAGTATATGTCGCGCTTATTTAAATTTACACTTCGTGCGTCATAATGACTTTAATTTCGACACATTACAGACATCATTATAGACATTATATCGTTTTTTTTGTGCATTATTTTGTGTCACGGTTTTTTTTTCGTATTACCACCGGTTTAAACCAGCTCATTCTGACAAGCTTCAGAGATGTAGATATATTTAGCATTTATGTTTACTGGGTACTCTATTTTAACACACGCGAGAAGTTAGTAGCGTTATACTTTGGCGTGCGTGCGTGAGTGCGTGTATGTCTTGCGTTTAATGAGACAGTTTAGCAGACACGCATATATAGGGATAGACAATGAACGATTAAACGCACTGCAAGTGCTGTGGAAAGTCAACGTGTTATCTCCTTAAGACATTAGACATAAATCATAGAAGCCAATTATGATATTAACGCATTATAATTTACTAATTATCAGCTTATTCAACATTTTATCATTATTATTAAATATGCTTTAATTTAATATTATAAAAATTTGTAAATCATAGTATAATATTGAAAACAATTGAAATGATTTTATTTTTATAACATACATGTTTTTTTAACCTACATACACATGTTTTTATAACATACATTTCCTCAACAAATATTACATAAAAATATCTTTTAAAATATCATAATATATACCCATAATACAAAAACTCATTTTCTTAATTGCATTATATAGAATCCCAGCATCAAAAATGCATAATAAGATTTATTCTAACCAAAGAGGGAATTAAAATATTAAACGTTAAAAATCATCATCAATAGAAAGTTTGAGCACAATTGTACGGACGAGATTTATACAACAATAATTATAAAGATATGATTGATACATACCACGATAGTAAGATCCGTTTGTCAATCGAGAAAAATTGTTGCTGTCGCTGCACACTGCGATCAATGTCAATAAATGTACATGTATTGAATCACTTCTTTGCTCGATTAAATTTTAATTAGCGCATTCTCTTCTACATTTTTACATCACGATGTCTTTGTAGCACACGCGTGTATCAGATGATCACAAATGTCACAAACGCCGAATAAAGTCAGTGCGTATCGCGAAAATTTATGTCGTGTCCACTGATAACTTCGCTTTCGGAGTAGATTTCGGTCATTTAAGTGACGAATATGGAAATAGAGACAAACTCGGTGACAAGAGATATCAACGACGACGCTCGGTCACATTTTCCGTGCTGCGCGTATCTCAAAGGTCTGGAGCGTCGTGACGCCCCGCATCGCTTTTATAGACCCGGCCGGGAAATGCGCAGACGTGGATGGTAAAAGGGTGCGGGATACATGACGATGTCGATCAACGTAGGGTAGAACAAGCGTAACGCCGCGTCGCATGGTGGCTTTTTTTAACAGGCGCATTATGTGCGAGTCGACGAGTCGCGTCAAGATGGACACTCCGATGAACAGAGAAAGAGTTACCCGGAACCAGATCGGCAGAATTCTTCCACGTGCGATCATTGATCGGTTTACGTGCTACATAATCTTAATCACGAGTTATCTTGATCATAAAACTTTTAAGTAAAATTTTATTTTGAAAATACCGACTTTATAGCTAGTAAAAAGGTGCAGTAAAATAATAATGTTAGAAGAACAAATCAAATAAGAGAAGTTAAATTTTTAATTTCTTTCTTTTTAATTACATTTGTGCTAATTCACGCGTACTCGTTAATTATTTACGATCGAGTATGCTAGTCGTATGTGTTCGATGATAGCGCATTCTCGAGATTTAGGAGCAAGGACTCGATAACTATTCGCAAGTAATAAAAATTCTTTGCGCGAGAAAACGATGCACGCGATGATAGGAGAAGCTTTGCAGAAATTGAGTTTGATCTATGATATTATTTTCTGCTTTTTTTAGTAGAAATGATATAGTATATAAATGACATAATATATCTGTTTTTTTTATTCTTTCACATCATTCTTTATTGCCTGTCTGCGTGTGAATTTTATAACGTGAAGCCATTTCGGTACCGATTCAAATCCGCAAAATATATTTTTGTACCTGTACGAATGGATTATTGACATGGATCGACTTAAAGTGGATTTATTGACTTTCTGCCGCCAGTTTAATATTCCAACTTCCACGAATAGAGTCAAATAGAGTCAAATAAAAAAGAAGGAAACGCCATTTGATTTTGCAATCCGTTCTTTATTTTTTATAACTATACTATTATTAATTATATCCTGCCTGTAATCTATTATTATCTACTATCGAGAATGACCTAAAACAGAACATTCATATATTTTAAATTTATTATAAATTTCTTATTCATGTCTCCTGTGACTTTGTCCTATTCAATATTATTTTCTTAAATTCGTGACGGACGCTGTTAAATAATGCAGATTATGCGTTCGTCGCGAATCCGAATTTACACCTGAAAGTATTTTTAAAATGTATGTCAAGTATACAGAGTCCATAGAGATGTTCGACTGTACATCACCGGATATTAAAGATATAAATAAGAGAAACGATCGCGCAATGGAAGTGCGAATTATTGTGCAATTATCGCAAATCGGTTCGCACATTAGTTCGCGAATTACGCGAAAAGCCTTGACGTTGACGAGTTTCGAGAAATGGAAAGAATCTAGGATAGATTAGGGGAACATGTTGGCGTCACCGAACACGTGTATTTAGATGTAAGCCTTCTGGGACAGTAGGCGCATGATTAATTTATGGATCCCGTGACAATCGCGTATAATAACTTCTAACTTTCTAACAGAAACGGAAAATGAGCATGTAATTGTGTTAAATTTTAAAATGGATTTTATTATACGATTGTCTATCTATCTTCAACTACAATTAGATTTAAGTTTCGTAGACGCAGCTATTGTCTATTTTGCTTGAGGCCGCTGACGTATTCACGTAGAATACGTCTACTGTGCTTGCCAAACAGTTACTGAACTTTGAGAGAACTCATCATTCGCGGAATCTTCTTCCATGATTATTCTTCCCTGAATGCAAACTTTGTCATCTAACAATGCTCGGAAAAGCTTACAGAAAAAGATGTTAAAATCATTTTTTCATCTTCACGTATTTTACTATATTCAAGTTGAACTATTTTTGTTAAAAGTATACTTTGCATGATCGCTGAATAAACAAAAGTATTTGAGACATCTCTATTAAAGTAACTTTTGAAGAACTCTTGAACAGAGTTCTAGAGTATTGACTGAGAAGGGTATCGTGATAAAGAAGAGAAAGAAAATAACACGAGTAAAAGGATGAAGGAGGAGAGAAAAATATAAGGATAGAGGATTTTTTATCTTCATCGACACATGCATCTTCGTGCTCCACCTACGCAAAGGCAGTACAAATACAATATGTGCAAACATGAAGATCGCCCACGTGCAGTGTATAGTTCGATTGCACACGAACACACATAAAACGGTAAATGTGATGCAATGCGAATAACATGCGGCCAGGGAATATAGAGAGAAAAAGAAGCAAGAACGAAAAAAGTTATCACCGCGGCTGAATCAAGAATACATAATTATCAAATCTACGGCTTCGTGGAACGCGGTTGACGAAACATCTATATTAGAGAGCTCCGAGATCTTTACCGCAAACAAGCGCGTGAATGTTCTGTTCTTCGTTCCTCGAAATCATCTATTCCTTTGTCTGTGCCATTTTTATTGAATTTGAAATTGACTTTTTCTAGACAAAATTTTAATGAAATATTATTATCGTTCTAAATCTTTTTTAAAGATTTCTTACATTAATTATTTTTAAAAATTCTAATTTTTAAAATAAGATTTGACACAAAGGAATAATTTTTTTTATCGATAGATTAATAAAAATTCAAGTACAAAAATATATAATAAGTCTGAATGTCCTATAAAATATAATTGTATAATTTGATTGATATTATAATTGTAATTACAGTTGATATACATACATTGGTTTTTTATTGTATATAATTTGAATGCACTGAAAATCCTAAAAGCAGATTTTAAATAAATTAATAAAGGAATAAATTTTATATATGAATGTACGTCTAGACAATCTGGTATGACAAAAAATAGAAAAATAAAGGAATAATACTCATTGTCAGAATAATTGCTATCAGAATTCAATAACTTTGCTAGTTTTCGGAAGCCAAAATAGAAGCCAATGATAACTTCTGGAAATACTGAGCTCAACTGAGAATATCTGAATAATGAATTCTTATTATAGATATACGTCGAAACACATTGTACGAATGATAAAAAAATTTTGCGATACCGAATAGAACAGGAATATAGAACTTATAAATTAAATAATAAATATAAATTGTCATAAATATATAAGTATAATGTACGATAATATGATAAATAAAAGAGAAACGAAAGAAACAGAATTTATAACATTATATAATATATGCATATATATTAAACTATTATTTATATAAGAACTGTAAGTTATGATTCATAATGTTTTTGTGAATATAAAATATCATCGCGAGGCAATTTGCGAACATAGAAAAAAGTTGAAGTTTTCGTAGTCAATTTTCTGTTCATAAATACGTTGCTAAATGTATTATGTTCTTTGGCGAGGGATTTTGATGATTGTTCTTCGCGCGTACCGTTATTTTGCGCTCTTGATTCTAGAAGATTTTGCAATACGCTTGATTCGCGGTTTTAGCCATCTCGGAAAGTTGATTTAACTTTGGCTTTGGTTTAAATATATTATCTCAAAATTTGTTTTGGTGATTGCTTCGCTCACACAGCCCACTACACAAACAACATGATACATGCGTCTACATAATAGCGCATCTATTAACAATAAGAAATGCGATTCTGTGAAATTATCATATTTCGAGTTATTTTCTCTTTTTGATAATATTGATTTTTCTTGCTGTTTTCTTCAACTGTTTATCTTTTTTATTCATTTACCGACAAATACAATGCAATTTTTAGATGTTTGCTGTTTTTCTTTGTTTTCAACAGCATTCGATTGGTTTAATTCTGATCGAGACGATTTCCATTTATTTCGTTTATTTATTGTATCTCTTATCATAAATTATAGAAAATACTATTACTTTTAATTTTAATTATAAATTTTAATTCTATTTCACTATTAATTTATGTTTGTATTATTTTTACGATTTCTAATTTTATTTGAGCAAAAAATTACTTTTATTATATTGTATTTACTAATTTGAATTATCTATATATTATAATTTTTGAGACCGAAGAGAAACAAAAAATCTCAAATCTTGTCGCGGATTGGAATATATAAGAACACATAAGAACGAATAAATGTTTTCATTTTACTGCGTAAGCTTATTTTTTTTTACTTTTATTTTACTTTTACTTTTATCTTTGAGATTCTTTGATTTTCTTTCTATGTGTGCACTCTATGTTGCTAAATTTGTAATTTCATTTGTTTATAAGTTTATAATTAAATTTCATTTTTTTGTAATTTTATAATTAAAAATTGGAAATTTTTACTTTTTTTCCTTTTGCGTTCTTTAATGAGAATTATATTTCTAAAGATTTAATTTAAATTAATATGTACTTTTTAAGGAGATATAATATAGAAAAGAGAAACGCGCACAAATTTCTTTTTAATATTTAGTTTTTCGAAACAATGCTTATATTTTGTCGTGAGATGATAAATCTTGAACACATTCTCATATTCAAGAAAAAAAACTGAAATATGCATCCGATCGAATGCATTGTACGTGCGTTCGTCGCTCTCATTCGAGGGTCGTTTAAATTGTATTTATACAGGGATAATCTCGAATCTATTATTCATGTTTCACGTAGTAAGACGCTTTGATAAATTTGATGGCAACTTATCCTGAAGAAAATTGTCGAGACTCTAAAAATTTTTAAGTTATGAAGAAACTGGCTTTTTCTTAGTAAAAAGGTCATATGAATTAAAAAATAAACAAAATTCAAAGAATTAAATATAACTATACACTTGTGGCTTATTCTACATTTTTTAAATTTATTAAACAAAATATGTAAAACATTATCATTAATATTCTGATATGAAAAAATAGTAAAAAATAAATAAATACAAATTTCTTAATGCAAAAACCTGAGAAATAAGAGAATATTTTATTTATTTTTCTGATTTATAAATTCTTTCAATTTATCATATAATTGTGGTTTATATCTCATGTTTGCATGACCTATGTAGTAATTCTAAAGTTAGTGATTAATTTTTAAGTAAGATTTTCTTACGTAAGACAAGTAATAGTAGATGGTCTTATCGTGTTCTGTGATCTTTATATACACTTGTGAGACTTGACACAATATTTGACACTTTTTATATTACACAATATAGTTCGAATTTGTAAGAATGACAAGTGGCATATCGGTGTCAGATTATTGTCCTGGAGAAAAGAGCAAACATACGGTTCATGCTTACTTACCTTAACATCGGCAATGTGCGTCAAACTGTCTATTTTTAGTCTTCTCTGTTTTCAGTTAGAACGTTAAGAAAAAATACGGCAGCGCATGGAGCAGGTGCCGAAACGCCACGAATAGTAACAAGGGAGGCAGAGAAACGATGAGATGAATTTAAGAATTGCGAGACGCATTATTTTAATGCATCCGATCGAATGCATCGTACGTGCGTTCGTCGCTCTCATTCGAGGGTCGTTTAAATTGTATTTATACAGGGGTAGTCTCGAATCTATTATTCATGTTTCACGTAGTAAGACGCTTTGATAAATTTGATGGAAACTTATCCTGAAGAAAACTGTCGAGATTCTAAAAGTTTTTAAGTTATGAAAAATTAGAAATGAAAAGCTTCTTGCATGCTTGGGGATTGTTAATAAAATCGGGAAAATATTATATCATAAATCGTCAAATAGAATTGGAAGTACTCGTATATTGGGCGTATTTCTGAAAATGGAAACATAGTTTTAAGCCAAATTAACAATTAACAAAGTAACATCATAAAAATAGCGATAGATCGTATAATATTTTTACGTTTTGCCCTTATGAATAAAAAAATGCAATATATAATATACGATTGGATATACGATGTAATTTAATTAAATTATTACAATAATTTTATGAATGAAATATTCTCAATAGTATAATATATTTGCTGAAGATTGTCAAATATTTCAATGTGTTTTAAGTTTATGGATTCTTCATTCAAAAAATCATATAGAATTCTTTACAATAAGATATTACAATACAAAATTTCAATACAAAATTAGAGTATAATTTATTTTTAACTTATAAAACTATAACTCGCGCACGCATGCAATTAATTGCAAAATATTTAAACATTACCTAAAATAATTTTTGCTATTTAAAAAATTAAAATTTTTATATATAATTTAAAATTTCTTGTTTTGATGAAATAATATGTGTTATTAATTATATGTGAAATTGAAAAGATATAACAAATTAAAGCCAATTTTTAATTATGCTGAGTTAAAAATTTGTCTCTTTAAGTATTTGTGTATAAGACTATAAAAAAAAGATTATATATAATTAGTAATTACCCATAACAAATTATTTTATACGTTATACAATAAGAAATAACAATTAACATAAATAAAAAATATAACATTCGAGTGTAAGATAAAATAAACATTTTGAATCTGGTATGTGTATTCAATATGATGAAAATGTATATTCAATATATGATTTTGCAGAATATTCTCTATCTTGCCAGATTCAATTTTTGAATTTCATTCATTGGAGTGTTCACTTAAATTCGCGCTTTTTCTCTCCCTCTATTTATCATTCTTTAATTAAACTATACTTATTTATTACAAATATAAATTATAAATAAAATAAAAAAACATGCAGATATTACATATGTTTCAATAATAAAATTTTTTTAAATTATTATTATTATATTAAAATAAGATTTTGAATTTATTATATATACTACTTTAATTTTGAATATTATTTCCCTTATTTATATAACTGTTTCTTTACTATATTCTGTTATTTCAACGCGAGCTTTTGCTCTCACTTGTGTTAGTATCTTCGCTACAAGTCGAAGAATCAGATGAATCATTCGTATACTCGGTATCATCGCTTGTGAAATCTGTAGAACTATAATCACTTGAATGTGAAGATCCAGAGTAAGAAGAATATGAAGATGAATATGATCGAAACTCGTCGGAATAATCGCTAGAATCCGATGACTCGCTATTTTCTATAAGAAAGAGAAAAGAAAGAAATGAAGGATTAATTCCGGAAATATCATGAATTTGAGAAGCAAGTGTGACTCTTGTATGAAAAAATTCTCAGCAGAATCTATTAAACCGTTGAATACTTTTATATAAATTATTGCGATGTGAGTATAAAGCTTAATTATAGCACTATTTAATATTGTAAAAGAAGACATAAAGATTTTTTAAATTAATTCATAGCGCATATATCTAAGCAGATCGATAAATGCTTGATTATATTGATTGATTTATTTCGTATGAAATAAATGCGCCTTTAAATTCTATCAGAGTGTTAAGAGATAATTAAATAAATATAAATAAATAATTAATAAATATAATTATTAATAAAAATAAGGTATCAAATAAAATATTTAAAAAAACAATAATATTAATTTCAATTATTATATAATGATTATTATATAATAATATTATTATATAATGATACAATTATAATAATATTTATATATAAAACATTCGAAAATTTGATCAATACTAAAATTATAGAAGCCATCTTACCTAAATCATTTTTTATGCTTTCCATTTTTTTCTTAACAGTTGATATTTCCTGACTAAGTTTAGCCATAGCTTTTGCAGCCTTTTTACTTTTTTTATATTCTCTTCTTTTCTCTAATTGTTCATTAGTTTTCAAACATTGTTTATCTTTGCCACAATTTTCCGTGCACTTTTCTGAAAAGTATAATTGTAATTATTAATTAATGTTAGATTGTTAAAAATAATGTTTAATGAAATATATTTGAAATGTGAAAATGTTTTGGATATTTTTTTACTTTTGCATTGACATTTAGTATTTTCCATGTTTCTTTTTAATGTCTTGGAAGATTTATTTGATGTAACATTTTTAGGCAATTCGTTTTTGTTCTTTAATTTGGTACAAATATTGTTGACTGAAAAATATATGTAATTATCATTAAAAATGGAAAAAATGTATCATGTTATGAAACAATTATAAAATATTATAAAATAAAAAAAATTGTTAAAGATTAAGTATAATGGAAATACTTCTCTTACTTTCCCATTGATTATCTACTGCATTACATTTCATTTTATTTTCTGATATATTTTTAGATTCTTCCGCTTGTAAATGATTATTTTTATCAGAAATTTTCTTATTAGCTAAAAAAAAATCATGGTTATTACAAAAATAAATTATACGAAATTTGATACAGTTACGCAAAAAAATATTATGCATATATTTTATTTGTTTAGGTTTAATATTTTTTACTTTTTATATTTTATATATGTCACAACTGCACGGTTTAGATGTGACGCTTTCTGTTATATTATTTCTAATTTTATATCTTTTTTCCATCTTATTCTCTCTCTAAGACTTTATCTTACTAAGAAGCTTTATAATTTGAAGAAAATTATTAAAATAATTAGAGAAAAAAGGATGAATTTTAAAATACTAAAATATTACATAATATAAGTATTAAAAATAAAATTTTTAATACTTTTTTATATACACTTACATTTATTCTTATACTTTACTTCACTTTTCAACGCATTGTGATTCTCTTTACTACACTCCAAATTCTTAACTTCTTCCATATTCATAATTTTTTCCTCGTTGCTAGGCATATTTTTACTAACTGAAAAACAATCTTATGCTTATTACCAAAAGAAATTATACGAAATATTTGTAGAAATTAAATATAATAAGAAAGAATATAATCGATTTTATTTACCTTCGTCTTGACAATGCTCAATGTCTTTTGTGTTCTTCTTCGATGTTCTTTTTCTTTGCTTTTTTCCTTCGGACTTGATACATTTCTCTGATTTATTTTCAGAATCTGTCATCTTTCTTTTTCTTACAATTGATTTTCCGTCTTTTGCTGTTTCTCCTACTGTTGTAGGCAATTTTTGTTTGGGCGTGCTTGTTTTCAGATTTATATCGTTATTTATTACGTCTTTCTTATTTGTTTTTTTGATTGACTCGTTAACGACAATCTCTTTGACATTGGGTTCTGAGGATTTTCGACCTTTTTTCTTCGATGTTTTTTTTATATCATCGACAACATGTTGGAGTTCTTGCGAAGACGTTTCTTCTACCGTTTTAGGTGTTTGTTTTTTTGAAGTTTTCTTTCTTGTCTGATCTTTAGTTTTAGGTGTAAGGATATCGTTATGCATATTTGAAGAAGTCCCTTCAGAATTTGTTGTTATCAAGTCCTCAGTTGAAGATTTTACCACGGATTCCGTCGGTTGTTTCGAATTTTTTTTCGCAATGTTAAGATCTATAAAGATATTAATAGATACATTGCAAAATTTTTTAAATAATTTTACACTCATATCAATTTAACTTCATAATATCCTCATATATATATTCTTATTGTTAGTTATTATTATAATTTGATTTTTATAAGTTTAGTTACACAAAAGCTTTGATAACATTTGACATCATTATATGTTATTTGGAAGTTTAAAAAATAGATTAAAAAATCTATAATAAAATTATAATAAAATGAAGGTTTCAAGACACCATGTATCTTGTTGTAGTTTTTACCTGCTTTGCAAGTCTTTTCTTGCGTAATTCTATCATTGAATTCGTTCAATACGCTCTGGATACGAGCCGCATCACTCTTTTCAATTTTTTCTATGTGTTTCCAAGGATCGGATTGTACAATACTATCAATGTAATGGTCGATGGAATCATCCGCACCAGCAAACGACAATGCGGATCTTCTTTGTACACTTTTACGACTCATATTTGAAAATTAGCACTTTATAATTGTCCTATTGAGGATTAATAATATGTATTTTTCTTACAATATAATCGAGAATTGACATAGACGATCTTTATGATATGTCTTTATGATATGTCTTCGTAATTATAATTTCGATATGTCAACGGTTATTCGGAGAAATTTCATGCAAAACTGTATTACTATTCTAATTCATATTTTTATAATTTCAAGAAATCAGAACTCAGATATTTACCTGCACAAAAGTTTTCAGAGTTTCTTCTCGCTTTTGTCATAGATCGATTTCTTTATAATTTGCCTTGTAAATGTGCGATAAAAATGTGTGTTAAATTATTTTATCTATTGAAATATTGGAAACGCACAAATTAAATAACATACACATCATATTTTCAAACGCGAAATAATAGCACAGAATAATATTAATTACTATGAAAATTACGAACCGCACATACATATACTGAACGTTACGTCGAGTATGTCGAGTAATACTGTTTGAATTGTGTTTACATGAATTTAAATCTTCTCAGATCTTTGTCAGACAAACTGTTTTCTTTTATATCCTGTATTTATATATCTGTATTTATGTACCTGTATTTATAATGTTTAACGTATAATACTGAGAAAATATTTTTATAGAATATGTACAAAGATGAGATCCATTACTGTGGCAATGTGTAAAATATGATTATTAAGAAGCATACACTCATAATTTTTTCGTGATATATTTAATATATGGAACATATATAATATATGTACACATGATTTTATCATTAAAATTTGAATATTTCTTATTATTTTATATTGAAAAAGTTGAATTTTAAAATATAATGTGAAATATGTGTATTATAAATCTGTTGGATTCTCTTAAATTTATCTGTTGGATTCTTTTAAATTTACTTATTTCATTAAATATATATTCCAGTATTATTAAAAATTAAAAAAGAAAGAATTTTGGAGAAACTTATTGAAAAATATTTTAAGAATAGGTTCTGTTTCTTAATTTGAAATCGATTTTTTTACCGAACAAGAAATTTATTCTGCCAAAAGCATTTTACTTAATTAAATTTTATATTAAATAACTCCTTAATAATTAATTAATTTAACCATTAATTTAATCTTTTATGAGAGAAAGTTCAACTGTTGTTAAAAAGATATTCTCTTTTAAAAATATTTTTTCAGTTATGGCATGCATTATATGATGGCGATTATAAAGTATAAAACCAACGAGCTAAAAATTCAATATACATATTTACATCACGATCCTAGGCTTTACGTCATAATTTCTTTACGCTGTACTTTTCTTACGTTGCCGTTAAAACTATATCGATACGTAGCATAGGCATGCGTAGGTAGGAGAACGTCAGAAAAACCGGATTATCGAGCGTGCCCTCTCGATAAAATAGAATAGAACTCGGTGACGTCATCGTGCCAGCGGCGCACGATCGTTATCTCTTACACAGCTAGACGGCTTACGGTAGGCCGCGTAATACCTGGTCGATCGAGTGAATAGAAGGGCTTTATGGCGTCACACGATCCTCGATGAGATCACTTGGCGCAAATGATATCACCGTATACTCCTACTGCGTCGATCGTAGCGTCATTCACTGTGACTTCATTCGTTTTAAACATCGAGGAAAAAGAAATCAAGGAAATTATAGGGCAGAGATAATTTTTTCTGTTATATATTAGTTTATTTTTGACAGTAGATGAAACCGCTTGTTACGCTCTAATGATAATTATTTTAGTTATTTTTGGTCTAATTGATAGAGCATAAATGTGTTGCATTAATAGATGATAGAGGATAAACGTGTTGCATTAATAAACGTAGAAATTGTGAAAAATATTTAGTTATCTCGCTCCTCTGTGAAATGGAAGCATGGACGTTTAAAATCCAGAATAGCCAGAATAATTATTTAATTCGCACAATACAGAGAAAATATGAAATACAGAGACAATACGAAGTACATGCCCTTATAAAAATAGATTTTATAATACAGTATTTAGAAAAATATAGTATTTAAAAAAACAGTAGAAAAATATTAATTATAGGTATACACTTTTTGTGTATTATTTGAAGTATCTTACGTAAAGAAAATTTAGAGATATCTTATATAAAATTTTGAAATAAATGTCATGTTATGCGATTCAACTAACTAGATATTTTTGGGATGATAGACAATGATTCTGTAAATCACGATGTATATTGACAGTTACATAAAATTCAAGTCAATTTTCAAGAAATAGTCTTTACCTTAGAACGTCGCGAAATTCACTCTCTCATCTTTTAAGATAATATTTATACATATGGAACTGCCAGCGCGACTATCGATTAATATGATTCTACGATTTTATGATTTTGCAAGATCATTTTCATTGGATTTATAACAATTTGAAATAATTTGATAATAATTTGATAAATTTTTAAGAATATGAATATTATTGGTAATAATAATGAACTTTACATCTCACATAATCCTATCATTATAATTTTCTCAATTTTATACCTTGGATAAAAAAATAAAAATTTCTTTTTCCACAATTTATATTTTACTTTTCCACAATACATATTTTAATTTATTTTTTACGAATCAATCAATAATTACGAATACGTCAATCTAATGCTTTTTTACTAATATCAAATAATTTCTGGAAATATAATTCTGGGGATAATTTGAAGGTAATATTAGATTTCTCAGTTTAGGTCATATAAATACCTATTAAAAAAATACTAATGTATATAAATTTATATTTTATATATAATACATTAATATCTAGTTTAATTTTATATTTCTTACAGCATCAAAATCTATATACTATTTACTGACACTATATGTTTTAAAGCCATAAATCAATTTATTTGCCATAATAATCATATTAATACTAAATTGATCATATATATTAATACTAAATTGATCCATGCGTATAGCATCAAGAAATTATCATATATTAAGTGCACATGAGATTATTATAGTATAATTATTGTATATATTGCTAGTATAGTAATATCATAATTTTTGAGTTTCTAAACATGCATATATTTTATTGCTTTCAAAATGAATATTTTCCAAACTAGATAAATAATTTATCAAATGAGATTACATAAATAATTTATATTTTAGCAAGATTAATAATATGCAAGAAAATTTATTTTATATTTTATATCTATTTTTATATTGAAAAAATAACGTTTTTGTTAATGTGACTTGTGCAGTTTTGCAAGATTATCGTCTATGCCCGCCCCCTGATTATTATTACATCGTATATACTTGATAAGGACCACAACTGTATGGTCGAAACGTCGTATTAATAAACAAAATTTCTGGCTAGTTTGGTCGACTACACTTTTTTTTTTCAATGATCCTTTGATTATCGACTAGCGACATTAAGTTATTTTATAATTTTTATTTTTATATTTTTAATTTTCAAAATTTCTCATATCGTTACTGTGTTATAACTAAATTTGCATATAGAAACATAGAATCACATAGATTTGTAAACAATTCACGTGAAAGATTACATATAGTTTTCTAAGTAATCGCAATCTTTTAATCAACATACAATTACAAAGAAACTGGTTTTTAGATTCAATTACGATTTTATCTATGATTACATGTATTTTTTAGAACGTTAATAAATAAGAAAAAGAATGCCTATTACAGTTCCTGTTTTTATTATTTTAAGAAATACATAATACTTTTTTTTTTATGTATTATAAAAAATTATACATTTTTACATATACATGCTGAATAAAACCAGCAACTTACACATTAAAATATCTGCACATGTGTAAAAAGTTTTACAGTTATGTTTCTACAAAAAAAATTTCCTAAAATAAAACATAGTTACGCCATTGCAAATATAAACGGAGGTTAACGGTTATTAAGAGTAATAACTTTAACAAAAAGGAAAAAAATAGATATTCCTGAACGAAATCTTGCCCTCAGGGGATCGTGATCGTTTGGTTACTAAAAAAAAAAAAACATCGATTTAACACGCGGTAAGACCGGTACCTTCTTCACACACGCATACAGATACACGTATATCTATATAAAAGTATCATCGTGCCATTCCCGAGGATAGTTGGACACTGCGCATCGAGTGAACATGATAGAGGTAAGAGAAGATTGGAAATTCCAAGACAAAAAATATCGCGCGCGTTTTTTCCGCGAGTGATGTCAAATTTGCGTGTGATTCATTGTAATTCTCATTTAAGAAAAGTAACAATTTTTTTATTTTGAATTTTTTTATTTTGAATTTGTGCTGAAATCGTAGTTGCGTAGCTTTCCTTATAGTCGAATAATTTTATAAAAGCATGGAAATAAGATTTTAAACATAGGAATTATAATAGATTTAAAATTTAAAAAGTGAAGAATTTACAATGATAATTAAAGTGTCACCAACATTTATCATCAACGTGCTAAACTATCATTAATCTTTTCAAGATTTAGTTAATTATACAATTATTCTCTGTATTTCAAAATTATTAATATCTTATTGTATAGCCTAGATTAGCATTTTTTATTCATTATTTATCTTGTTCTCAAATTCTTAATAAACAAAATATTATGAGAAAAATAGGTTATCCTATTAAATTGTAGTAAGAAAAGAAGAGAAAGTCGATTTAACCCTAAATGTAGATGGAAAATTTGTCACATAGATTTACACATCTACATGCATATTCGAATTCTGATTAGTTCTATTCTTCTTATTACAAAACCGAATATTTTTGGAAAGATAAATTAATATCAAACTAAGTTATTTTGATTCTTTGCTAATTTGGCCCCAATAAAACTTATAATTATATTTCGTGGCGCAAATTACGCAAATGGTTAGTGTAATTGTATGAACGGAGATTTATTTAATTTTAAATACCGAATTAATTATAAATTTGTTGCTAAAGGCGAAGGCACGGTTACTCGTAAGGGATGTTCGAATAAATGATCAATAATTAATATCGTCGATATTTTCGAGAAGGCTCATAAAATTAGCATTTTACATGATCAATTAAGAGAGATCAATTAATTTTTTATATAGATATAAGATTTGAATTATAAGATTTTTATACAGATTTGTACAGATTTATAAACAATTAGATTTTTTTAATTCGATTTTTTTAGAAATTATTGCAAATAGTTTCTATAACTAAGTAGTAAGTTAAGATCTCGAATTCAAATGCTGTAAATTATAAAAAAAGCAGTTAAAATACCACTTTTAAATATCATTGAACGCAAGACGCAGTCATTTTATTGCAACAATTCGTTCTTGCGATTAGCAATTGAAAAAATTCTTTTTCGTCCGCAATAAAAATAGCTTTGTCTCGTTCGAAGAATTTCTAGTCAATTGCGAGAAAGTGGGTTATCTTTTAACCTGGACGAGATTTTTGGGTCAAGCGAAGTGGAGCCTGAGTGTCTCTATATGAAATAGCACAAGGATGTGGAGAATCCTCACACGTATCTGTACCTATCTACCTACCTACCTACAAGCGCCGCGTCAAATTGTCGTCATCCGCTTTAAATTTTCATGTCCACTATTTCTCGACGAATTCAATCTGCAAGTGATTTCTCCGAACAAAACGCTGTATCATGTGGAATCACGCGAATCTATGTATTTTGCACGATGCAATAAACAATCATAAATTCATGATTGCATCGTTTAGCTCGCATTTATCATCGCGTCGATTGTTCGACGATTCTGCATTAATTTCGAGTAAATTCCACGATGTATATCAGGTTTATTTAAAAAATAACTCTTGCATGCATAATCTATGTGTGTTGAAGTTTCTTTTTTTTCATATTACGGTCAAATGAGAACGGCGCAATAATTTTTAAATCCGATTGTTTCATGCATTAATAATGTATATAATTTCGTATATTAAAGTAAAAAAATATTTAAAAAAATATACTATTTATAATATAATATTAAAATCTAGTTAAAATCTAATTAAAATCTAGTTAAAATCTAATTAAAATCTAGTTAAGACTTTTATAAACTGAAACTCATTTAATTTTAAATGAACAATTTTGTTCGTTCATTGTTTCCTAAAATTTAACTGAAAATATATTATTGCACAAATAATTAAAAAGATTTTGAAAGAAAGAGAAATCTTGACATCCAAATAAAAAGAAAGATCCAGTTCAAAGTGTCTTATTAAAATTAAGAATAATGATTTTGAAATATCTGTCTCAGTTTAATCGGTTATAAAATGCTTGATCATATTTATAATTTTCTGTGCAAAATTTCACGTAATTCCATGCAACCACACTGCATTTAAGTGCTTTTTATGCAGTTTCTGATACTATTCCTTGGCGTTTACGGGGCACTGGCGGCTCCTCATGCGTCCCATGTGAATGACGATCTTCATCTGGATAATAATACGGAAGTGGTCGAAGGACAGCTTCCCGGTACGGAAAATCTCAACGAGAAGGCTCTTCCGATATCTCGTTTATTCGCCACGGAATCGAGTAATCTGCCGGCGAGGAATAATCTGGCTGAAAGATCTCAGATACCTCAAAAACTTCCCGGAACGCTAAATCTGGCGGAAAAACGAATTCCTGATGTCGTTCTGAAGAGATTGTTGCAGCTGTTTGAGGTCAACTGAAAAAAAGAAACGTAATAGATTGTTCGATAACATCTAAAATATATTTAATTGTCGTTGTCACATTGGCATTTAAATAAGTTCTCGATAATATAAACTGCATAAATCTTTTTGCTAAATGCAGTTGCAAAAAAGCACTTTCCCATATTTAAAATGTTTTCTTGTGAAAAGAAAGAAAAAATCTTTCGGAAAATTAATTATCATATAATGATTACATTACAAATGTGATGATTATAATAATATACAGATCATATTAATAACATAAATGATCAAAAAGTATAAATGATCAAAAATGCAAATCATCGAAATCATAAGTTAATATATTCTATTAATATTATGATTTATTTTAGAATAAAATGTGATCTTTCCATTATAAAATATAAGTTATATAATTATATAATTATACATAAGTTATATAATTATTTTTAGTAAAGCTATTTTTAGCAAATTTTTAGTTTATTAAAATAATTATCATTTCATTTCAAAAAATGTATGTATTATAATTATTTCAATAAATTATTGTTATTAATCTATTTGTGTTATATATTTATCAGAAAATAATTTTGAGTTATTACATAATAACGTAATTTCTAACAATTCGTAAAAAACCGATAATGATATATTCTGAGAAGAAAATATACAATTCACATTTTTGTTACTGCATCTATTATTGCTCTTGCGAGATTAGTATCATTATTTGCACTACAATAGCGATTCTAGCAATGACATAACAACGTTGATATTATGCATTCATGTTTAATTTGAGGAAAAAGTAAAAAAATATATTTACATAAAAAATATAATTATATAATCTATTATTCCATCTATTGGATGTATTTTGTACTATTTTGCTAATATTAGAATCGATAATAATATTATCATCAGTCAAATTGTAAAGTGGAATTTATCTATTACACATTAGCATCCTCAGATATTATGCAGGTTTCAGGTAAAATATGATAATTTATCTTTTTTACATAACCGAAAAAAATAAAAATAACATTATTAAATTTTGTTTATTTTATTAGACAAATGATCTGTTTCCTGTCTTGCTATTTCCGAAAAATTGTTGCCATGTTATGCTTTTTACATCACATCGCGTATGTAACATTTGTCGATAAAGATGAAAATATTAGATAAAATTGTATTTATATTATAATTAAATTGGAAATGCAATAGAGTAACACGACTGTGCTTATTTTATATTTTTACTTTTTATATTATAAATTTTCAACATGTATAAATTCAACAATCAATAGCAATAGCAGCAGTCAGTATACAGTTTTCTACTTGTTCTAATACGGTAAAAATGTCGACAGCGTTTGTAGTGATTTGACCAGTTACCTATTTTATTCGAAAGATTTCGTTACGAATAACATTCAGCGAATTAAATAATAAAATATTTAAAGATAGAGTGATCTAAAAAATAAAGTTTAAAGAAAACTCAAGCGTATAATTTAAACAAAAAGAGAGAGCTATCCAATTATGGTATATTTTCTTGTATTAATTTCAATGAAGTTAAGACGAAATGAGAATTTATTGCAAATGAAGATGAGAAGAAATAAGTATTTATTACAAATTAGATTTTTATATATGTATTTTTATGCTACAGAGATTTCAAATTTACGTTAAAATAAAAGATGAAAGCACATTAAATATTTTTCATAGAAAACAAATTGTAATTAATTTTATTCTTAAATGGATACTATTATAATTCGAGATATCTTTTCATTTAGACTATTATATCTAGATATAATCACTTTTTGCATACAATTAGGCTATTTCTTCTGTCCAATTAGACTATTTCTTTTTCCTTTCATTTCTCTTTTTTACGAAAAAAGCTAAAGTATTTCATATACATACGATTCAATATGCTGCTCTATTATAAGATTGACCTGCCATCCTTCAACTACAGCTATTTCGTACTTGTTGGACATTATTCCGGCGAATAGCACCAAGTCATGGCAGTCCCTCGTACGTGTTGGAACTTTAATCCGGTCGGCGTTTGGATTTAATACACGCAACCGATTAACAGGGAGATTACATAGAGCTCTACGTGCAGTCGTCGAGCTTATGGTAGCTTTAAACTAAAATTAGCTAAACTTCGCGTATCTTCGATATTGCGCCTTATTCTAGCAACGCCTCATCGTGTTGATAGTTAAGCATAAAGATAATAGGATTTTCACCTCTTTCGAAAAACTTGACTTAACCACGTCTGTCTATTTGCAATTTATTAATATGTATAAAAATAAAATCGTATTCTTCTTTAAAGCGGATCTATTATTAATTAGAAATAAAAGAGTACTAGTATATAGAGAGGAGTTAAGTTAAATTAAAAGTTAAATAGAAATAAAAACAATTTAATTATTATAATTTAATTTATTTTGTCTACATCAGATATTTGAAGCTGAAATTCATTAAAATTTGTAAATCAATTATGTATCATATATATATATATATATATATATATATATATATATATATATGTATACATATATAGTTATATTATATATTATGTACGAAGAAGAAAAAAAATAGATTACATTAAAATAAATCAATTTTATAATTTTATAAAAATTATTTAGAAAAAACTCATATATATATATATAAGTTTTGTCTAAATAATTCTTATAAAATTATAAAATTGACTTATTTTAATGTAATCTATTTTTTTTCTTCTTCGTACATAATATATAATATAACTATAAAATATAAAATATAAAAAAAAATATAGGAGATTTATAAAAATGATAAAAGATTCTTAAAATGTCTTCGACTTAAAATAACTAATGTGTAATATCATCTTTAAAGCACATAAATGTTTCTATAATTTCTTCTTTTATTTCGGTCAAGCATACGTGATTTCATAATAATGCATCGCATCGAAAATTGATAAATCAATTTCGTAACGCTTATTTCCTCTTCATGCATGCGCTATTACGTATCATTATGGCGCGACATCTTCATGAAGTGTGAAATCTAATATTCATGCCAGGTTGTTGCTTCGAGAACGCGTGCCCGTGTCATCTCTCGTGCTCATGCCTGTACATCGATATATGTCGACTTGATCGGGGATACGCGTGATATACAGGCCAAAAACAGGAAGAAAGAGAAAATCAGAGAGAGAGAGAGAGAGTGAGAGAGGAAGGGGAGGAAGAAAGAAAGGGAAAGAGAGAGAGGGAGAGGGAGAGGGAGAAGAAGAGAAATGACTGAAGTAAGCGTTTGCTCCTATATGGTCGCTAATCTTAACGGAAGGGGATAGTGTTTGCACGAGGTAGGTTAAGGGTTGTGCCGGCGGGTTACGGTTTCAGGGGCGAGTCAAAGACACCGACCGCGTCGGTGCAACGGCAATGCCCTCTAGTCATATGGGTTAACCGGCTTCTAACTTTGACCGACGTCGACCTGCGCTCGAAATCGGTCGATTAAAGCCGCCCACGCATATATACGCGCAAAATCCGATGCAGTGACTCTACGTTCAAATATCGATAACTCGTCGAGTAGATACAGCGGCTGCGGAGATTCAAAGAGAGATTCAAAGATTGCTCTAACAGTGTTGAAATCTAACGATTCTAGCTCTTGCGTGTTATGTTACAGTTTTAATATATTATATTAAATAAAATATAATATATAAAACGAAATAATAACACATATGAAACAAAAATGGAAAGAGAGAGATTACACATTCATATTTAGATAATAATTTTACATCCGGAGTGAATTTTTATAAAGTGTATGCATGGTTTGTTTTCGCTTTGTATGTTTATAAATCTATTTCCCTTGTGAAGGAGCTAACAACGCATTCCATTTACTGAAAAAACGAAAGGATAACATGATAAAAAAAAGCACTATGATTATTCGCTTTTACCATATTGAATTGCGATTGAGAGTTATATAATGCTATAATTTCGATGAACTCACTATCGTTGCTCCAAAGCAAAGTCGATTGTTTTTTTATCGAATGGCAACGAGACATAGAGAGTATATTGCAATATTTTAATATTATTCTTTTACCATAATATTTTTTTCTTTTTTATGATATTTCTATGATATAATCGAATAAATTAATATTTTTTGGCTATTATTATTAAAATTTTTTAATTAAATGTTTACAAAAAAGTCGGCATACAAAGACTTAAATAGAAAAGAATCCCCCACGCAGAGTTTCCTAAAGCTGCATGTTTAAAATGGTACATACGTTTTAACAAAATAGTCCTCGGTACGAAGTCATAACATTTTAAGTTGTACACGGGCACGTGAGGAGACTCATTAATGGAAAATGTTACGGAGTTGCTAGGTAAACGCACGTGTTGTATATGTTTATGCGCAATATCGTTAGAAATAAGTTCCGCGAGCATTTATGTAAACATGCGTAGCATATTTATAAGAATATTTTATGTATAAAAAAGTCGACGGGAAAAATAATTTAAAAAAAATATAATTGTACAGATTATCTGATGGTGACTTTTTGAAAATTAATGATTTAAAGAATTTTGTTGCTTACTAAGAAACATAACAAGATTTAAAATAGCAATAAATATTATTGCATATTTATTTGAAGGACATTTGAATTTTTTAAATTTAATATGATTAAATTTTTTTCGACAAGTGTCAAAGTATGTTAGATAAATTAAACTTTAATCTAAAATTTAACAAAATTAAGATTTGGCTCGATATCAGCGTACTCTCATCTCTTTAAAATCAGTCTTTACTTTTTTTCCTTTTATCTCTTTTTCTATCTTTCTTTTTTCTTCATTCTTTAATTTTATCTTGCCGCAAAGAAACATAATACCTTTTACTTTGTATAATAGTTACTTTAATTATTAGTATAAATATATTTTAAGAATATGTGTATGTAATTAACATAATACATACATAATACATACATACTTATATATAATTAAATGAAAATATATATAAAATAAAAAATTTAATATTGTATATATCTAATATATCACGATTTTTGGGTTTATTTATATACGATCTTATTATTTTTATATATTTATAATATAAAATCTAATTTTATTTTATTATACTATGTATCCTTTAAATAGATTTTTGGAATGACACACCATAAATATGAAAGATCACATCATTTCTTTTAGAAGCATAACATATCATGAATTCACACGCAGTTAAAAAGAAACATTTTGAAAATGTCCGACCTTTTATATTTTGCGGTAAGCAATAATGATGATCAAAAACAAT